GCTTCACCCAGTTCAAATTCTGTAAAAAATAAATAAATCTATTAAGCACCTTTTCCTGTCCAATCAGAAAATAATCAATTGGGTTCATGTTAATGTCAAGCAAAAAAGGTTGAACTTTTCAAATGCCTTGAAAACGTTAGATGCTAGAAATATATTTTCAGCAGCAGATCCATCCTTTGCTATAAATGATCCAGTGTTCACTAAATGAATGCTGTGTTATGGCAGTTTATCCTATGATAAAAAAATGGTTTATTTACAAACCATTTTCAAAGTATTTCTAATATTACAAATAAAAAAGTTCCAAGTGGTTGAATAAAATATCTGCAGCATATGCCCAGTTCTTAAATCAAATTAATCATCAGAATAATCTACAGAATAATTGATTACTAAAATGATTGTCAGTTGGAGCCCTAGAGAATATCTTTAATGCATAAAGGTACGGTCGATTTATGGGGAGTAGACATCAAAAGAGAACGGTCGCTCCCTTTTACTTTCTTGCTTTCCGAACTTTCCTTTTCTGGTATTACAGTTCTTTCCACACTGACTAAAAAAGACAACATGAGAGCATTCAGAATGATGTCAAATCATGTTATTTTGTCTCAGTGCACTGTGCATTTGAGCTTGCACTTGTATTGAAAAGGACATCCCCTCTGGCTGTTGTCTCATTGAGAGCCTACCTGTCACGCGGCTGATATGACGCTCTTTGAATGCAATGTGTACGTATGATCAGAGCTGTGGCGAGCCGACCCAGATGACAGAGTGACTGGAGTGTCAAAAGCGGCCCCACAAACAGACACGTCTCTTTTTTCCCCAGACAGGAAGCTGGGAGCAGCAGAGGCTCTGTCTTGTCTCATCTGCCAGCAGTCCTACTGGCAACTCCACCCTCCGCCTCAACATGTCTGATGGTGTGCAGGAGTCCATGCTGGACGGCTGATTTGATTTCAGCCAGTGTGACACATCTGTTGCTTGTCATGTTGTGTTGTGCCAGTCTGTGAGGCGAGCGTTTGGGGAGAACGGGCGTCTGATCGCTGCTTTCATGTTTACAAACAGGGGGCTCAGGATTATGTGCCGGCTGCAGCATGGCGAGAAGGTCAAGAGGTGTGGAGCGAATACAGTATACATCTGTGTAGTCCATATGCCACAAGCCATCACTTCTCCTGACCAAAGCTTTGTATTGAAATACTGTATGATGCGATGCACCGATCAGGCCTTGTCTGGCTGTTCTTCTTTAAGGCCTGACATGCTAATTCAGATTTTTTTTTATTACAAAGACAGTAGGAGTGCAGAGGTTGCCATTTTCTGGCCCATCACTGATCTTTAAAAAACTAGCCCAGGGTGCAGCGGGGGCACAAAGGGTAGAGCATGCAACTAGGCATGTCAGAAAAACAAATTCTGCTCTCAGCATAATAGCAAAATAATGCAATAACACATCCTCAAAGATCGATAAACTTTAAACTCCAATGAACATTTAACTCTGGAATTGGAAAATATTTTAAAGATCCAAAATAAGTAGACAAATCAACAGAAACAACAAATGGCTACTTGGTTATGCTATAAGATGACATAACCATGTGTTTGGATAATTCTACCAAAATTGAAGGAATTACAAAATTATCGCAAAGTATCAACATAACTTTTCTTATCTATGTTGTCTTAGAGAGATAAAATGCATAACTGGAGAAAACAGCAAGTCTCTCTTCACATTTCATAAGAACAAGAATTTCTGTTTTTCTTCTTCCAATTATGGTCTTAGCTGCTGTGTCTTTGGCGCCACCCTCTGCCCGATTATTGCCCCTTTCAGTGCAATCACAAAAATCTGGAATTAGCGCACGCTACTCGGCAGGTAAAGATGGCCTCATTTACATCCCACAGGTTTCAAAAAGTGAAACTAATTAGGCCTTAATACATCGCAGCACATTTTAAGGACCTATCTGATCAGAGTCAATCAAGGTAAAAATTGGCCAGTGCCCTTCCCAGCTGATAGATTAGTGCACCTCCTACTGAGACACACTGGAACTTTATGTGTTAAACACATAAAGGTCTGAAAGTGGAAAAAAATAAAAATAAATATGAATCTAAGTTCCACTAAAAGGTTTCTCTTTTCCTTTACATTACCTACAGAATATTAATCACTTCTCTCTGATTTGCTACAGCTGTGAATCAAATCTGTGTCAACATTCTTCACAGTGTCCTCTTTATGGATGTCTAAAGCACAATGAAAAATACAAAAAACATTTCTAAAAACCTACAAAAATTAAGGCTATAGTCTAAGCTAGATTTCTTCAATCAATTTAAAAACAAGAGCAGCGACCAAGGCTGATTGGAAACATCCAGTCCATCCTCCTATGAAGTACACACACTACATCAGCAAAAATCAAATTACAGTATTTCAGCTGGTGAAAGTAGCCCCAGCACTAAAGAAGCAGAAAGGAATTTATTAGCGGGAATGGAGCGGTAAGTTAGGAGGTTACATCTCTGTGTCCTTGTCTGGGCAATAAATATTCAAAAGTGTCATGTAATTATGAGTTTAGGATTCATATCTATACGCTGATCTCCTCTAACTGTAAATTACTTGGAAAAAGTTCAGAGGGAGTTTTTTGTTGTTGTTGTTTTGCTTATTCTTAACTAGAATTCACAAATGATATTTAAATATTTTTGATTACCATACTGTTTTGATCAAAAAAGAACAAAATGCAATATGTAAATGCCATCCCTCTTCAGAGGGTGGGGGAAAACTTTTTTCAGAGGGCTCATTTACATTGTCAAATGACTCAACACTCAATACTTTCCACTTGCTGTCAAACTTTGCTCCTGAAGACGTATCGAGCTGGAAATGATCACAGCTTCTCAAAACATACATGACATAGAAGAACAGAAAAGAAGAACGGCTCGAACATAATATGAAACACCGTGACAATTGGGGGCTCATCCAACCACGAGTCAACGCTTTTATGGCGCAGCATGGGGGGGGGGAGGGCTCGGTGCTTCTAATTTATTCAAAGAGGGATCATTTGCTTAGGGCTCTAATCCAAGGATCAGTCTGTCCTTCATTAGCCTCAATCTGACATAGATGTGAACAGCATGTAAGCTTGCCACATGAACGCTGCCCCTCCTTCCTCTCTTTCTCTGTATCTGTTCCCCCTCTCTTCTCGGGAAGGAGGGGGAACAGTAATTTGACCGTTGGAAATATCACAGGTTGTTAGCATTCCAGAGAGAATTTTACATGAGTGTACATTCGGGCTTTAATTAGAGACTATTTGATCATTCAGCAGCTGGGCTTTATTTAATAAAATACAGGTTCATGTCGGTGTATGGTGACTGTTGGTGCTGTGCGAAACAGTTAGCATGAAGACTGTTCCATGAAAGAAGAGTCAGTATTATATTGAATGTGAAGGGAGAATGTGAGAAAGTATTCCACTTTTATTCATCACATACAACGTTCAAACATATAACGTTGTAAACAATGCGGGTGAAAATGGATCATTTGTATGCTGATCGAAAGCTTTTTGTCTGTAAACTCTCATACTGAACCTTGCAAAAAGTATTTTAAATGCTCTACTCTTAGATTCAGGGTTATTTTATAATCCTGAATCTAAATATATTTAATTGAGATTTTATATAACAGACCAACACAAAGTGCTGCATAGTTGTGAAGTGAAGATTTTCCATCTTTCCATCAGCTTCTTCAGCAGAGCTTTTTTATGTTCTCTATTGAAGAGAAGTATCCTTGCCCCACGCTGCTGCTGCCACCATATTTTACAGCAGTGACCATAACTTCCACATTTTTGTTTACAAATTTTAAAAATCTGAAATTTGGGACACATATGTCTTCAATCCTTTTGTTTGTTACCCAAAATAAAATCCATAAAAAATTAAGTAAACAATCTATCAGGGTCTCTAAAAGACATCTAACTTGTTGGGTTTTATAAGCTACATTTTTCACAAACCATGAGGTTCACTTCAGATTTACTGAAGAGGCAAAGAACACTATTCAATAATTTGTTGGAAAAACATAAGCCCTAAAAATAAGTTTGAAATCTGTGTTTGTTATCCCAAAAATAATCAAAAAGCTGATCTAAGGTGAGCTAGAGAACAAAGCAGAATGAATTAGAGCATTTTTTATTGTGGCCAAAAAATACAATGATCTTTGAACTCTCAGTAACTCAAAAAAGCTTAACAAAACTAAGTTTTGATATAAAACAAATCAGAATTTTTTTTTACATAAATTCAAGTAAAAAGCATTCTGTTTTCAAAAATCATATTTTATAATCATCTTTTAACTAATAGAATAAAGAACTGAAAACAATTCTTTGTTTTCTTTTATTCACACTTAACCAGACCTGCAAACTGATTCAGCAAACTTCTCTGCACAGGAACTCTTAATATGAAGAAGTTCAAGTGATATAACTACTGTGAGGTGTTGTACATGTAAACAACAACCTGGAACCCTAAATGTCAACACAGGACCATGTGGACATAAAAATACGAGTGAGATGAAAATTCGACCAGACCAAGGTCAACAGGGGACGATAAAACAAACAGCAGGTTTAAGGAAGTCTTCCCTGTGTGAAGGTTAGCCATGTTCTGTGTTTACACTACATCCCAGGCTTTGAAATTGTTTTGCTTTGTGGAGGCTCTGCCTTGGGGTCATGGTTTGTTTTTGACGTGTTTATACACCACACAAGGAGTAATGACTTCTAGGGTAGTCCAGGGAAGAGGGGGAGGAGGGAGACAAGCGATGCAGACATAAGCAAGCAACACTGCAATTTTTTGCGCCTGTCAGGTTCATGGTTAACCTTTAACTCCCCGCTGATCGGCCTGTGTCACTGTATGTAGGACTCCAGTAGTCACAGCTGATGTCAGCAAACAGCTGCTGTCTATTACTACACAAAACCCCTTTTCACATAGTCTTGTGGTGATTAGAAACCACAATGGTTTTCAATATAAAATAGACTTTTATTTCAAAAAACGTGAGCAGCATTTCCACTTTGGGTACTTACTTCGATGTCAGGCTCCACAGAATGTCACTGCCAGAGTTTCCTCGCTGGTCGAGCAAGTGGAGAAGTGGAGAGGCGATCAAAAGTGAGCAAAGGGCAGGATATGGGGCAGGGATGGAAGGCGTGGGGGAGGGAGTGTAGAAAAAGAGAATCACGGTGGAAATTAGTTTCACAAAAGTGTTAAAAAGAAAAAAAAAGCACATTAATTTTTCCACAATCAGAAATGCCTACCATGTCACCTCCAGTGTTTGTTTTTTTCCTACACCATGCTTGAGTTAAGTTAAAGCAGTGGAGGAAAACTGAACAGGTCACTCTGAAAGTAACATTCACTCCCTAGCTGCCTTTTAAATATTTGGAGACGCTCTCATAATGAAAAAATATATACATAACAAGACTATTGAAAAAATAACGCACTCCAATGACTGTAACCGAGCCCCCTTGAAATTGATTACTGCTGTAACTGATTCAAACTCCAGCTCCTCCTTAACCTTAGATCAAGTTTTTCTGAATCACTGGCTTCTAAAGTTGTTGAGGGAAATAAAAAACAGATTACATCTATATTAGAATCAAAGTGTTTCTCTGGTTTAAAGACATTTTAAATGAAAGAAGATGGGTAGAAAGGAAGCATCCTCCTCACCTGTTGTTATAAACTACAGGTCAGCTGGCTTAAAAAATACAAAGCAAAAATAAATAAATAAAAAAATAATGCAAAAAACAAGAACTGTTTTTCTTTAAAAGAGCATAGACAATGTTATTAATGTAAGCCTGTTAGGATCAGGATCTGCTTTATTCACCAAGTGTGTGCAAAGTAACAAGGAACTGGGCTTTGCTTTTACAGATATTTAAAAGCACAGGCTTCCATTTTTATGATATAAATATATTAAAAATTTTTATGATATAAATATATTAAAAATGGAAAGTATTTCTTGTAAATGTTTATATATCTGGTGTTTTTGCAAAAGCGGAAGATGAGGCTGAATTAATTAAAATATTTATGGCATCATACTGTGTGCTTAAATGGTTTGTGTCCAGGTTGTGTGTGGTCTGCAGAGCTCTGTAGCCATCCTTTCCCCTTCATCCCACTTTTACATTATAAACAGTGGAAAATAGGTAATTTAGAGTTCAACCTTGAAAACTACTTAGAATATTGCAAGAAATGCCTCAGATTCAACACTACTAACGCCCACCCAAAATATAATAATAATAATAATAATAATAATGATAATAATAATAATAATAATAATAATAATAATAATAATAATAATAATAATAATAATAATAATAATAATAATAAAAATCAGCAGGTAGTAGAAATCAGCTGGTTAGGGATTATTCCCTTAACTTTGAAGGGAATAATCACGCATTATGAGACCGGGTCATAATTTCAAAAACCAATGATGAGTGACAGAAATGTTCAAATAATCCGTAAAGTTAAAAAAAGTATTTTGTAGTTATTTATAGTTCTTAAAGAGAACCTGGAGTCAGTTAAATTTGGACAAAGTTTTAGAAAAAAAAAATGGGAATCTGCAGCAAAATTGGGGATCAGTGCATCTTCAGTGTGAATTATTATATTATATAATTTTAACTCCAAATACTATACATTTTCACTCAGCTTATGTAAGATTCTCAACCGAGGAGGTTCTTGCTTACATTCAGTTTACAGAAATGTCTGCTAATGAGATTGAAGAAATTTTTAAAACTAATTAATTAGTATAATAATTTGTCCCATTACAGTTATCAAATGTTAGTCCACAGCCTTTTACAGCTGACCTTTGTCATTCAGTCCCTTAGTGTGAAAACACACCGGGGATAAACAGCAAGACGTGTTTCCTGAAAGGGGAGGAGAGGTGGAAAAAGCCCATTCTGCCCCCTAAATCACTGCCTGCCCCGTCACAGCCGACGCCACAGGCTTTTCTGCAAAGCTAGGGAAAAGTTCCCCGGGGGGGTCTGCCAATTCAAACAGTGCTTGACGCCCCCGCCTATCTCTGGCCTGCCTCTGCGGACCTGCCTTCAACAGGGCTTCCTGAGGGCTTGCTGCAGCTGGAGCACTTTGAATAAAGGTAACGGCAATGTCACAGCACTACTGTAAACTCGGCCTGTTTGCTCCTGTCAGCAGGACATTCCTAATAAAAGCAGAAATAACCCCACCTAAAACACAACACATTGTTTTGTTGTTGTTTTTTTTTTTTCCTTTTTTTCCCCAAAGGCCTCCCAAATCTAAACTTCCCATGAGTTACAAAGAGAGTACACAGGCGAGAAAGGGCAAGCACTGCCTCCTCAGTTCCTGCCAAACAAAATGCCAGGAGGAATGGCAGTTCCACTCGGCTCCCGGCTTTAAATATACGAGCAATTTAGAAAATGATTAGTCTTATTTTCTTGTTGAGTGCCTGACACCACAGAGGAAACCAGAACAATCATGCAAGCTGGTGCTCTTTTTTCTTTTTTTTCTGCTGAATTTAGAAACACTAATTAGTTTTGCTCTTGTAAAAGCCAACCTGAAAACGACCAATTAGAAAGTGAAAATGAGATGTGCGGAGGAAACAAGAACTTGTCGTTTGCTCGCTTTAAAGTCCCACGTGTGCAACTTTGCCTTGATGACTTTCACACAAAATATCGGGACTGACAGGCCCAAGTCTTGATGTCATGTACGCTGCTCTCTGAAGCCGCGCGAACCCTCACTTCTCTCTATCAGAAGGAAACTATTAAAGATCTGCGGGGCCACATCAAAACCCACGGCTGGCCAGTTTGACCATGCAGATGTCTGAGGCACCAGGCAAGGGAGGCTGACCACAGCACCAGCTGGTTTCAGCTCAGGGCCAAACCCCTTTTACTCCCCTCCTCTCCTCACAGGTTCCCTTTTTCTATGAATTTTCTGTTTCAAGGGTAATAATTCCTCCCCATAAAAGGTTCATTTCAAGCCAATGAGTGATGTTTCAGCCTTTGGGAGATTTGAGACCTCACCTACTGAGTGGTTGTTATGAAAAGTGAGCATAAAACTTGTGGAAATTATCTTATTTGTGAGAATTTCATCACTATTCCCAAAGCAAACAATAGCGGGCGTTTCATCACTGTCAACCTTAAGACGGATGGGCTGCCAGCACTCAACCCCTCCCGCCGCCCCCACTTATCCAGGATCCAGCTCCTGGACTATAAAGAAGTGGCTAAAAAAGGCTGGAGCAATCGTTTTCCCCAACCTGCGTTTTTTACTGGGGAGGAATTCTCAGATGTCAGATCGCTGCCAACGTCCTTGTAGCCAATGGCGGAGAGGCCAGCAAGTTCACATTAACTGTGGAGTGTAACTGCGCTGAACATCTGCTCATGAATGAGAGTGCTGCCCGCTAAACTCGGCGAGCCCAGAGCCCCACTTATGAAAAATTCAACGCTCTCCTCGTTGGCACGCTTGTTTTTTTTTTTTTTTGCACTATTCTCCCGAGCCTCGGGAATTATACAAGGAGAATTTTAGCGTGGTCTGGTGTATTCGAGGGAACAGCTGGCGCTGAAAAGGGGATGTGCTGCTTAGCAAGAATTCGGGGAGCACATGGGAGATCAGCCTTCTCCTGTACCATTTGTCCTTGAAGAAAAAAAAAAAAAATCCATCAAGTTTAGAGACCTAGATAATGCTAAGAAAGCAAAGGCTACGATTAACTGATCGCACACCATACGTGTGTTCTACAGTAGACAGAGCACAAATGGAGCCAAATCTGACAAAAGACACTGGAAGACAAGTGAGGAGGGTGTTTCATCATTTCACTAGGAAAAGTGTGGATGTTAAAATACCCTCATCCACCATGGATGTGACATAAGATTGCACCTCTACAGTCCTACCCTTCATACACTCTGATACTGATTAAAAATCACTTAATCCTTCTGAATAGAGTTCATATATTATATGTTAAAATCAAGATGACTGATTGAAAGGATCCCATCCCCACAGAGCAAAGCAAAGCCGCGTATACAATTAGTTGTGCAGTACATTGCACTTGTTACAGTATAATTTACTCATTACTTTCTTGTTTTTAACAAGGTAAACTGTACTTCTACATTTAAACAATTTAAACAACTAACACATATAAAACAGTTTTCTCTATTCTGTATGAACTGTAGGCTTGTTAAATGCACCACTTCAGCCAAAGTTTTTGATTCGCTTTTTAACCAGGACCTCTTCAAAGTTTTCTGCCAATAACTCTTCGCCATGCTGTCATCTAATTCAGTGTCCATGTTAGAGATGGTATTCAGAAGGGATGTTATATTGACTGATTTAGTTATCGCCACAATGTACTCTCTGCTTAAAGTTGAAAGTGTCCCAGGTAACTGCACCAAATATAGTCAAAAACAAAACAAAAAAGGAAAAAAAATGGAGAGTTTAAAGAGCCACAGGGTGCAGACCAGTGGCCCAATATATTAGATTTTTAGCCTGTCCCATAAAGATCAATGGGTGAAATTAACATGTCTGACCTTGTGCAGAAAAGGCACAAGTGTGATCTGATCACTGTTTGTGATCAGATCACACTTAGAGAGTTATATATATATATATATATATATATATATATATATATATATATATATATATATATATATATATATATATATATATATATAAAATTCCCTTCTCACCCACCGCGGGTGGTTCTTATCCTCTGAGCTCGGGTCCTCTACCAGAGGCCTGGGAGCTTGAGGGTTCTGCGCAGTATCTTGGCTGTGCCAAGGACTGCTGCACATTTCTGGACTGAGATGTCTGATGTTGTTCCTGGGATCTGTTGTAGCCACTGCTCCAGTTTGAGGGTTACTGCCCGAGGGCCCCGATGACCACAGGCACCACTGTGGTCTTCACCTTCCAGACCCTCTCCAGTTCTTCCCTGAGGCCCTGGTATTTCTCCAGTTTCTCGTGCTCCTTTTTCCTGATGTTGCAATCACTTGGTATTGCTACATCTACCACAACGGCTTTCCTCTGATGTTTATCCACTACGACAATGTCTGGTTGGTTCGCCATTACCATTTTGTCTGTCTGGATCTGGAAGTCCCACAGGATCTTAGCTCTGGCGTTCTC